AATGAGATGTTGACAGAAATTCACTAAATAAAACCAGAATATGTCCCAAACAAAAATTTATTAATAGATCTGTAATGGTTAATAAACTATAAGTTAGTAAATGTCACATGGTAACAATGGCTACATGTGATGACTATGGAGGTGGATATGACTTTAAGTTTGCTGATGGTGATCCTCCAGATGAGTATCAATGCCACATCTGTACACTGGTAGCACGGGATCCTCAACAAGTTAGCTGCTGCTCCAATATATACTGTGAGAGCTGTCTGGATACACTAAAAGAGAAGGGCCAAGGGTTTATCTGCCCAACTTGTCGTAGCTCACTAGAAGGAAAGTACTTTAAAGATGGAAGAGCAGAAAGAGGAATAAAGTCACTTAAGGTTTATTGCACTAACACTGATAGTGGGTGCCAATGGATGGGGACTATTAAGGATATTGATACCCACCTTAATAACAGCTGTACCTATCAACTGGTGCCTTGTACTAATGGATGTGGAGAGAAGATTAGGAGAAGTACACTGAAGAAACATCTGACAGACAACTGTCCTGAGCGAATAGTTAACTGTCAGTATTGCAACCGAAAAGGTCGATACCGACTGATAACAAGCAGCTGTCATTTTGATGATTGTCCTGACCTCTTAATCCACTGCAGTAATGAAGGTTGCAATGAGAAGATACCACAACATTCACTAGAATCACACAATGAGACCTGCCTTAAAGCTATCATACCATGTGAATACAATACTGTTGGATGTAATTTCACAATGAAACGAGAAGAACGAGACAAACACAACGAAGAATCAATAAAACACCATCTTGATATAGCCATGAAGAAGATTGATGCTCTACAGTTAACAAATCAAGTTTTTAAACTAAATGAATATACAGAGAAAAAAAAAAGATGAGGATTGGTACAGCCCAGGCTTCTATACATCTCCAGGAGGATATAGGATGTCATTAAATGTCTATCCTAATGGTAATGATGATGATGATAGTAAAGGTACACACGTCTCTTGCTACATACATCTCATGGCAGGAAAATGTGATGATACATTGGAGTGGCCATTTCAAGGAGAAGTCACTATAGAACTACTGAATCAACTGGAGGATAAGAATCATTGGCAGTTCACCATATCATTTGATGAATCAACAGATGGCGATTGCAAACAAAGAGTAACCGAAGAAGGTTCATCAGGATGGGGTACAACTCAATTCGTACCACATTCTCAATTAGAGTATGATGCTCCTACTAATTGTCAGTATCTTAAAGATGATAGTCTGTACTTCAGAGTCAGTGTAAAGGTTACATCAATAACAAAGCCATGGATGACATCTGCTATATAATGTTAGTAGTACAATGACATAATTAAGTTGCTAAAAATAATTGCTTTTGTTTTCACTTGGAATTGTTATGTTCATGCATTAATGGTTTGTTATAGTATTATGTGACTGAAGCTGGTGCATGTGGAATGTTGCAATCTAGGAGGGGAAAATTCAGACAACAATCAGCCTGAGTTGCCATTTTGTATCATTTTGGCAGATTTTAATTTCACAAATATAATGAAAGTAACTCCCTCAAAAGTTTCCACCTATTACAATCAATAATTATAAAATGTTCAAATTTCTAATTACGGTTAATCAAAATCAGATATTCTAACACAAAACACAGACACAAACACTACAAACATACTATAGCTATATAAACACACCCCACACAATTCAATGAGAACCAGAAGGGGTGTACCTTAACATACTCACATGACTAGAGGATAAATGGCTACAGAAGTAGGAGCACAAGGAGGCTATAGGTACACTTTCACTGATGGGGAGACATCCCAAGAGTATCAATGCCACATATGCACATTAGTGGCAAGGGATCCTCAACAGGTCACCTGCTGTGGTAAGATATACTGCAAGAGCTGTCTTGAGAGCTCAAAAAAGAAGAGACAGAAACTAACTTGCCCTGACTGCAATAAGCAACTAACTGGGAAATATTTCGAAGATATGAGAGCAGAGCAAGGGATAAAGTCACTGGAGATCTATTGCACTAACACTGATAGTGGGTGCCAATGGATGGGAGCTATTAAGGATATTGATACTCATCTTAGCATTAGCTGTCCCTATCAACAG